CATCCACCACAACGGGGATGGGAGTGTGAGTGATACAGAGACAGACTATTAAATCCCCGAAAAAGGAGGTTATAATACATTTTTTGCAGTGTATAGTGTGATGTTTTCATCTTACTTAAGGATTTACCAGTGAAAACGCACAATGAGTATTAAAAGCGATAAGTAAAATACAATTTACATAATCGAATCACCATTTGCATAATCAGTGGCAAGTCCGGAGGAAATAAATTGGGGGCGGTTTTGGATAGAGCAATAAAGGACTAGATAGCATTTAATTGGATTGTATGTGTGTATATCTTTATTGCCATGGAAGAAAAAAAGCCAGCGACGGGAAAGTGGAAAAGCGACAGAGATGAGGAAGAAACGGAAGAGGGGAGGAGATGCGGAAAGAAAGGTATATATGGTGAAAAACGCTTAAAAAATTGCTCGACGTGCCCCACGAAAGGGCAGGGGGTGAAAGAGAGGGATGCGCCGCCAGGACAATAAGGTTGGAGAGTTAGAACATTAGGCGCCCCAAGAAAGGCAACTTGCCACTTTGATTTGGCTCTTAAAGAAGTTTTATACCAATATAAATGGGAATGGCCATAAATTGATTCCGCTAAGCCTCGGCTCAATATAAAACTCGGTTCACCTGTCCAAAAATCTCTGAACCATTATAAAAGGAAGATTGACTGTGACAGAAAGTTGTAAACGTGATCTCTGTGCAAAGTACTCGAAAAAGACACGGCAGGGGCACGGATACCTTCCCTCCCCCGGCACCCCCGGGCAGCCGTTCGAATCGATTATGAGAGACACTGGGGAGAAATAATACAATATGACGAGATAAGACGATAACGAAGAAAGTTGCCGCTCTCTTTTTCCCAGCGAGCGGGGATGCCGGTAATGTTTGCCTAAAAAACTTTTTAATAGAGTCACAAGGGAAATTTACAGCGGCAACACATACTTGAGAGAATATGTAATGTAATAAGTGAGATACTTTCCTTTTGCGCCCTCTCCAGGCCTGAGTGCGCCTCTCTCCCCTATTGCCGCGGCAGTAAATAATTGTGTTAATGTGTACTTTTTTTTTCACCCTCCAAGACAGGATTATCGATTCTCCCCAGTTTCTGCGTTCACTCAATATGCCATTTTCGGGCAAATATAGAGGGATTGCAGTGCCACGGGAATGAGAGGATAAATATACAATTTGGATTTAAGTACAGCATCCGAGGGAAGATTCGCGCCACTCGAGAGTCTCTCGATTCACCCAACATCATGGCCAGTATTTAATATTATTCCAGCGAAACTTTGCCAAAGAAATGTAAAATAATTAATTTCCTCCTTGTTTGATGTGGCGACTGAGCCAAAGACGCTTTCATGAACTCAATGCTGTAGCGAATCTCCCGCTCTTCACTCTGGATGTCGAATTGAAATCTGCCGGAGAACCCTTTTATCTCTGCATAAAATTGGATAGTTTTAAATAACAAGCCATGTTTAAAGTTGAACTAATCATAAAAAATTTATTGATATAGTGAATTGTGAGGGAGATTTTCATTCATTTCCCGCCCCCAAAAAGATGAGAGAATGAGAGTTTTCCACCGGCGATTAGGTATGTCGTAAGAGGCAAAAAGTCATTAATAAATGATAAAGCAAGAAGCCCAAAGATCTTCTTTGACCCTAATATGCGTACTTAACCATAATAACCAGGATATGCTGTGTGCACATTAGAGGTTTATCGCCAAAGTTTCGGTGACTTCGCAGTTACAGCTCAATCAGAAGAACTGTGTCAAGATTTCGACACACAGGAAATAAGAGAAAAATCGTTGATTTGACCAAGGATTTGACACAATTTTCGCTCTGAAACGGTTTAAACTTCCAGTCTGATGAGTGCATTAGACTTCATACCGCAAGAAATTCCACCATCTCTATTTAAAGTAATCCTAGCATGTCATGCCAGAAGTTTTAAAACAAATACCTTTACGCAGAAAATATAGTGTGCGGCAATGTGAGCTTCTCTCAAACCTAAAATGATGCTGAAAATTCCATCAAAGGCTGTCAATAAAGTGATAAAGCAAAATTAGTAAAGTGACAAGGAGGAAAAGTCCCTGGGTGAATACCTCCCTGAAAATAAACTTTTCCAACGAGTTGTTTTCCTACGTAATTATAATCGCTTCAGTCCGGGGGTGTTTCCCACCAGAAGATGCCAAAGGACGTGGCCCATACCACATTAAATGTGCTATATAGCATGAAAACTTTGGTAAAATTATGATTTGGATGTGGCTTAATGGTCATTTGGGGGTTTCTGCTTCTGTCGTATTCAATATAACAAACATTATATTACAAAACTCTCATGGAGAATAATTTCAAACCACAGAATCCGCATAAAACATCACCATAATTGAGATATTTGCAGCACTATAGTTGTGTGAGGTGATACTCCTATGCTGGCCCTCCACTTCAGCACACAGTCTCATTATATGCGAAAAGCGAGGGGGAAAATCCCAGCGTTTTTAGACGAATCATGATACATTTACCCCCAAATTGTGCACCGACAGGAATTCTCGTGAATCGCATTGGGGGCGAGGGTGTGGGCCAAATTTATTCGCATGCACATGCAGAAGAGTTAAGCTGAAATGCAACTTCATTAAACAGACCCGCCCTTTAACTTGCATTTTCCAGCCGGAGTGGCGAGTGAAGTATCTATTTCACTAACTATTTTGCAGTTGGACTCAACCGCAATTATGCATTCTAACTTGCGCCGTGAGAAGAAATGATGCTTGGAATTTTGCAGAGGAGAAAATATGCGATATTTATTCGTTGTATGGAAAATAAAAGGCACTGCAGAGATAAAGAAAAATAAATTATTCACAATCTGACGAAATTTACATAAAATAGATGAATATTGTTGAAAATATCAATTGTATAATCAATCCTTACGGTGATTCTACATCAAATTTCCAAGGGGCAGATATCATGGTCGAAAGTGACTTTACGGCTTTAGAGGAAATAATGAAATATTTCAAATTGCATTGCAAAAGCTTCTGCTTCAACAAATTGAGGCATTTTCTAGGTTATTTTGCTCAGAAAAATCAATTTTATTACCTTTTTTAGTTTATGTTATAGATTTAAAACAGATTCCATGAATTTAAAAACCCGCAAAATAATCAAATTTGTATTTAAACTGATTTTACTTTTTCTTGGGAACCTTGAGCATTTGTGTTCAAAATAACTTTAAAAAAGTTAAGAAAAAGCCTAAGACTCAATCATAACCTCAAAAATATTAGTTCAGTCTAGAAAATCGTTTCTTTGCTTTATTATTTCTGCAGAATGTGCTTTAAAATGTCAAATTCAACCTCAATTTCTAGTAGAAGCTTTAAAACATTCACTATATTTACAAACTTCCCGCTTTAATAGGATTAAAATTGGGCGAAAAAGGATTTTAAACCGAATTCATAACCTCACAATTTGGCCAGAATTTTTTCAAGCATTTTACGAAAGCAAAACTTAGATTAGTTTCTGATAAGTCAGAAATTAGTGTGAGAAACAACTAAAGAAGTCTAAAAAGCGATAGAAAATGCATTTCAAGACGTTCAGAAGTGTTTGAAGTGTTAAAGATTCCGCACAGAGGTTAAGAAAGTGTCAGGAAGTTGTGTACAGATTTAGGGAATATTATCTCCCCCTTGAAAATTTCAATAACTTTCTGTGCTCAACAGCGAACACATGAATATTAATTTTCTGCGGAAATGTAGTTGAATCAAACGTTCGCTTCGTTGGATCTTCACTTCTATGGAATCATTCAGTCTTCTTGCTTTTTCTCCTCATAGAATATTTTTCATACTAGTTTTCCCTCTCTCAGCCTGAAGGAAGAAAAGAGATCATCAACATTTCCACTATTTTTAGTGTCTAGAAATCCTGTTTGGTCATTTTTCCTTCTTGTTTATGGCACAAAAAAGTTACAAATTAAAAAAAATTAATTCAAGTCGAAAGTGATATAATGTGCTGGAGGAAGAGTAACAAGGATACGTCTCGCATTTCTCAGAATTACAGCTTATAACTTACACCCCATTAAAATGTGTCATAATTTCTACTTCTTTATCTCACGCCTTCCAGCCCCTTCTTGACGTTGGATAATTACTATTCACCTGCGGCCACATAATTCCATGAAATGTCTGTGAGAAAAATGTGAGGCATTTCTGGGGGTGAATATGTAGTGGTGTTTTTATGAGACACCCATTCATTTACCTGTCGCTCTCGCCGGTGCGCTTCACACTTGCGCTGCAGAAGCTGCTCTCCTCGTCTTACTGTAGGAGAAAGTTGGAAACTTTTTAAAGGCATCATAAAATCTCCTCGGAAAAAGCTCTCAGCAGCATTATATGCACGGCATGTGATCAGTCGCTGAGTGACATTTTTCGGCTATGGCGAAAAAAAAGGCAAATTCAAAATTTATTACGACATTTTGATCAACTTATATGCAAACGTTATATAGTTTTCATCGCCACATTTTCCTGGCACAAAGAGGCATTCAAGCATCGCCTTTCGGTATTCAACCACGAGAAAATTATCATTTAATCCACTCCACACTTCTTAAGGTTTCAGAAGTTTTGCCATGAAACACGAGCAGTTGGATTGTGCTTTTCAAAAGCTATCAAAGTTTCAAAATAAATTACTTCTGTATGAGAATAGAGAGAGAGAGAGTGAAAGAGAAGTAATTTACTATTTTCTACATTGATTAATTGTATGATAAAAAAAGCACCATAATCGCTCATTAACATCAAGAGTACATATTTTTACACACCCGACCTACATACTTTCCCTCTTCTCAAAGGCTCTCAATTGCACAAGCTCAACCGCAACAGCACATGCCATTGATTACACTCAATATATCGTAAATTAGGCAAAGCAGGAGCGTAAATGAATTTTTGACCACACTTTTGATAAATTAGGCAAACAGACAAGATAAATGGATGCAAGCCTGAATGTGTAGAAAATTCTAACAAATGCCCCCCTTTTCCACCCCTTTTCAGTGATGCTGGACGAACCGAGATTTGCACAGCCAATTCCCAACGTGACTGTTGCCGTTGGTCGTGACGCCAATTTGCCGTGTGTCGTTGAACATCTCGGGACCTACAAGGTATATATATTGTGTCTTGTACCTAAATAATTTCTCTTGTTTGCAGATAAATTTTAATGTGGCCCAATTTATCATTCACTCTTGCACATGTTTACCAAAATCCACTCTCACTCACCCTAAAGCATTCAACACTATTTCTCACCCTCCCCCAAATGTTACATGTAAATGAACGTAATGTTGACACTATCGCAAACCTACAACGGACAATCCATCTGGAAAATGTTCCAAATTTTCAAGCGAAGGATTTATTTCTCATTTCGCCTTATGCAATATTCAGCAGCCTCGACTGTGACAGCGTATTTTATTCCGGCAAATGAAAGGACATATTTAAATTTGACTAATTTTCTATGCAATCTCTCCAAAATTTTAACCAAGATTTTAACAATTCCTCGTAATGAGGCAGTGGAAAAGTGTATAGTTAATTGTGTAGACTTTCTCTCAAAGAGAATATTGTGTTTAACAAGGGAGAGATAATATACCTTAAATCTGTACACGACTTCCACATTTGCTTAACACTTCTAGAACTCGATGTTTTCCGACTATTTCCACATTGCTTCTCAAATTACAATGAATCTCTTAAATTTCCATCTGATAATTATATTTTGAAACACATTTTTGAATATCTTTTCGGACCATAACCTAAAAATATCGCTTAGAGATCTTCAGAAACTCCGCCTGGAAGCTTTCTAGCTTTGCAATGAACTCAAAATTGCTGATTCAGAGTCAAAATTGTTCAGAAAGATTTCTGAATAAAAATTTTTCCAATTGCAATGACTATTTCTAAGGTTATGTTCGAGTTTAATACAGTTTACAGTGTTTTTTAACATTAAAGATTCAAAAAAGCACTGATTATTGGATGTAAATGCATAATTGAGCCAATGTTAAGACTTGAGCATAAGAATTCCTTACATAACCTAGAAAAAGATTTTTATGATTGATTCTGCGTAAAAATCTAAGGAAATCCAAAGAATTGGGATAATTTGTCAGTAAAATAAGCACTCAAGAAAGGAATATTGTAAGTTTTTGAATAGTTCCACTTCTTAACTACTTCTTCTGAGCTGTACACCACTCCTGACTGGATTCTCTCTCCTTTAATGTTTAATGTACGTGGGTGAATTGCAAATTTATTTTAAATTAGCCAAACTTTAAGCCTTTCCGAAGAATTTCTAAAAATATGTGTAAAGAATATCATAAAGGTGTAAAATCAGAGGATATTCGCGTTAATTTTTTGAAATTTAATGCCTAACCATAAAATTGCATGAAGGAAGCTTAGAGTGTTGAAATTTGAACAGGTGCTTGAGGTTCTAAACATAGAATGTAATGGCCATTGAGGCAAGAGGAGCAGGACAGGGCGTAAATATCAAACAAACGGACCTCATCGTAATTTCAACTTTCCATGGGATATAAAGTCATTCCTTCACACTGACTCACAGGTACGGCAACATGATTTTGACGCGGCTATTAAAGCAACACGACACATCGTTGGCAACGCAAAGGGGGAAGTGGCGAACTCATGATGGAGAGTTCAAACTTTTCTCATCATGGAAAATGTCGCTCAGAACGGTGACGAGAATGTTAGATGTCTCACACAAAGTGATTTCGCAATTTATAGACACACAGTCAGCATTTTGGAATTCATATAGTTTTAACATGGGTGAAGAGAGAAAACTTTAAGTTCTCTCTCTCTCTCTCAGCCTGCACATAATGCTCTTCATGCCGCGTGTGTTCTAGAGTTTCGTGCCACGATTTAGTGTTTCACCTTTAAAATGTTGTCCCCACATACAGATCCGGTTGTTTGCTGAAGATGTGGATTTATTTTATTTACATTGCGAATAATGAAGATGCTCCTCTTGTGGATTTCTCGGGTATTGGGGTCTTGTTTGTGTCTCCGAATTGCCTCATGAAATATTTGCCGGAATTTCAGGGGTGGCTAGCACTAAGAATAGTTACAGGGCTATCAAACATTTAGCATATCTATTTTCAGAGCTTGACAACGTGGCCATAACCCGATGCTGATGCCATAGATTTAATGTGGAGTTATCCCCGTACAACCCCATATCTTTTGGTTAATGTTGTGGCAACATTGAGCTTGTGCATTAATTACCCGTACAATTGCAAAATTAATGACACTCTCTCCAGCTTCAAACTAATTATATGGGATTCTAGGTGTTCTATTTTTGTAAGACATGTGAATTGTTAATAAACACCTGAAAGCCTATCCGTTTCTCTGCGGTGAACAAGGCGACGAACTGTCGTGATCTTTATATCAAGGGGGAGAGAATACAGTCAGAAGTGGTGTACAGTTCAGCAGATGTACTTAAGAAGTAAAAGTGTTCAAAAGCTTACAATATTCCTTTCTTGAATGCTCATTTTACTAACAAATTATCCCAATTCTTTGGATTTTCTTCGATTTTCACGCAGAATCAAGCATAAAAATCTTTTTCTAGGTTACGTAGCTATAATCACGGACAGATTTAGTGAATAATTAGCATTCAAATCGGTGAAATCGTTAGTTATTGACAATATTAAGCAATCAGATGCAATAAAAAATAGTATTCTGATCCTTTCATAACAAGAAACACTGGAAATTCTGTTAATTTTCGAATATAACCTCAAAAAAGTCATTATAACTACAAAATGCTTATTTAGAAAACTTTCTGGACAATTTTGACTATGAATCAGCAATTTTGAGTTCATTAACAAATCATATCAGACGATTTTGTGATTAAGAAAGCTTCCAAATTGCGTCTTAAACAATTTTTAGTGATATTTTTAGGTTATGGTCGGAAAAGATACCCAAAGAGCTGATTTTAGTGAATTTGCAGAAATGTTGGATAAAAACTTAAAAGATTTAATAAAATTTGAGTATTAGTATGTAAAAGGTCGTAAAATTTCTCCCCCTTACTTTATATTTTAAAATATATTTGAGTCATAATTTATAGTGATATTCTATATGGTGAATTTAGTTTCTCCAATTGAAATAAATGTTACGAATAATAGCTCTGTTTTCTTTTATTCTTTCCTTTAAGACAAGCTCAAGAATGAATAATGTGATAATATTCACCTGGGAATGAGAACAATCGCATTAACATCCGGCGAAAAATGACCAGATTATGTGATAATATTCACCTGGAAGACGAAGGACCTCTTTAGTACGTGATATACAAAGCACTGCTTCTATGCCGCTCTGTACCTGGGAATGAGAACAATCGCATTAACATCCGGCGAAAAATGACCGGACGCATGCGCTCTCTCATCCGGCCGAAACGCGACCACTTTCGCTGTGATTGATCTCTGTGATAGTTGTAACCCTTCTGTGATAAGCTTCTGTGATAAAGTTCTGTGATAAAGTTCTGTGATATAGTTCTGTGATATTTTGATCGTTTAAACACCACACTTCTCTTTAATTCTTTTATTTTTAACTTTTCACTTTTTTTCTCCACACTCCCGACGCTTCTTCCTCTTCCACAACACTATGGCGGGCGCGCGCGATGTTTTCTATGTTCATTATCGCAGTTGCGATCGCGCTGCCGCCACTCTCCGGAAACTTAAACTCCATTTCCCTCACATAAGTTCCCCGGGTTGAGGAACTCAACACTCTGACTCTTCTCCTCCATGGGAATCCTTGCCAAAGTGTTCGCCGCTCTCTTCTGGATGCTGTCCTGTGTCTTCACCGTGACGACCCGAACAACATCGTCCTTTCCTGCGTGTGTCGCTGTGATCCTTCCCATCTTCCACAGTGAGGGCTTCAGGTTGGGCTCACGAACCAACACTAAGTCTCCGATCTCCAGATTCCTGCTGCTGCTGGCCCATTTGGGACGACACTGGAGAGTGCTGATGTACTCATGATGCCATCGACGCCAAAAATGCTGCACAAAACTCTGAAGAAGATGCCATTTGGACAGCAGATTCGGGTTTTTGTCCATGAGATCCGGTCCGGGTGGTAGGGTGAGCTCGTGACCCACGAGAAAGTGAGCCGGGGTCAGAGCTTGAAGATCGTCGACCTCTGTTGACATGGCGCAGAGAGGCCTCGAGTTAATACATGCCTCGATCTGCGCGAGAACTGTAGAGAACTCCTCGTACGTCAAGGCCGTGTCTCCGACAACCTTCCTGAGGTGGGTTTTTGTGCTGCCCACTCCACGTTCCCACAATCCGCCGAATGTGGGTGAGTACGATGGGATGTAGTGGAACTCCGTCCCTACATCAGACATGAATCGGATGACTTTGCCGCGATGGTCGCGAACAGACTTCAATCTGTCCTCTCTGGTGGCTCCAGTGACTCCCACAAAGTTCGTGGCATTATCGCAGAAGATCGTGCCACACTGTCCGCGCCTCGCCGTGAAGCGCCGCAAAGCTGCCTTGAACTTCTCCGTTGATAAGTCTGTCACTGCTTCCAGATGAACCGCCTTCGTGGCCATACAAATGAATAGACAGATGTATCCTTTCGTGACCACGGACTTCCTGAGGTAGGAAGACTTGAAGTTGAACGGGCCGGCAAAGTCACAGCCGGTGTTGTAGAATGGCCGACATTGCTGCACTCTAACTGCCGGCAAGTCGCCCATCATTGGTGTTTCCATGCGTGGCCTGTTGCGCGAACATTTCACGCACTTCCTGATGACATCCTTGACCAAGCATCTCTCTCCGATGATCCAGAACTTGGCGCGCAGAATGCCTTGCACGTGAGTGGCACCAGCGTGAAGATACACTTCGTGCGTGCGAGCCACCAAATCCCTGACAAACTTGTGGTCAGAGGGAAGGATGATTGGGTGGCGAGCTGCATACGTCATCACAGCGTTCTCCAGACGTCCTTTGACCCTCAGGACCCCATTCTCCCCCATGAAAGGCACAAGCTTGTGCAATTTGCTCGCCTTCGACACTTCTTTGCCTCTCTCACAACACTGATACTCGTCCGGGAAGCGCTTCCGCTGGATATGAGCGCAAATTATCTCCAAAGCTCGCGTTTTCTCACTCACTGACAGAAAGTCCTTTTGCCTTTCACA